TGTTGGGGGGGGGGGGGGAGAACAACTGAAATACAAACAGGCAGTAAAAAAAAATCCCCATCTGGAGCAATCACACCCTGAGAGGCAAATAGGAAGGTGGAGGCAGAATCACACAGTAGCACAGGGAATAAACCGCCGTGATCCCATCCCTGAGGTTGGTTATTAGTATCTCTCCAGCAAATCTTTCTCACAAGCAGCCTTTTATATGCTAAATTAGCCAGGGCTCCCTCTCTTCTAGGAAAGGAGGATGTTTGAGGGCACAGCAGCCCCTGTCATGGGGATTTCAAGGGGACTTTCACTGTCCAAGTCCTTTTCATGCCAAGCATATTAAATAGTACCTCCGACAAGTCTTCCTGAGCTCCCAGCAATGCAACACCACCACCTAGCACCTTGCAGAGCTGGTGCAAGGACAGTGAGCAGGCAGGCAGCGGGCACGGCTGCTGCGGACCCGTGTTGCTCCATTGACCGGTGTTTCTGAGCAAGGCAGTGTTTCTGTTTCGGGTCCTGAGGGCACAAAGAGAAAGCAGTGACTGAATGGCTTCTCGTGTGATTTGTTTTCTGGAGGTGCATGTAAGGAGTACTCCTGGGTTCATTTCACATAGGCTGAAGCCCTGGCATGTCCCCCCTTTTCCTGGCATGTTATTCAGGAACACGGAGGTGGTGTCACAAGAAGCAGAGGCGCTCAAAGCAAGGCCCACAGGCGTACACCGCCCTTCACCCTTCGCTTCTCATCACTTTGCATCTCTACAAGCCCAGGTGGTCATTCGTGGTCACAAAACCTGCTCGAGTTGTAAATACCTCCTAAGACAAAATGCTGCGTTTACCCTGTAGCCTAGAAATTGCCCAAAATAGCTGATATTTACTCTTCAGTGGTCATTTACCAAATCAGATGAGGGCTTTGCAAATGATGACTGAAGCCTCATTGTGGGCTGTTTGTATGGGATACATTGTGCTGGGGAAACAATGGGTGTCAGGGCTGGTGAGAGCTTTCTTGGGGTTTGGACAGGGCTTGGAGCTTGCAGGATGCTCTTGAGATACGGGTAGTGCTGCCAAGGTCTTGTTTCACCACTCAGCACTGTGGGAGGACAACGTTGGGCTCCTCAGCCACCCTCTGCTTTAGGTTGCGAAGGGGATCTCCACTTGGACCTACAAAAGCCTCCAGGCTCTGGTCAGGCTTCAGCAGCAACAGAAGGCTGAGAAATTTCCTGGTCTCCTCTGCCTGAGGGATGAGTTGGTCCGAGCGGTGATGGGGAAAGTTAGGCAATGCAAGAAGCCCAGCAGAACTTTGCCTCGACAGCTCTCCATCATCCCAGGTGAAGTGACCTCCTGTCCTCTCTACATACCAACCATAGGGACCTGTGGCCACCCACCAATGGCCAGAGGATGCCATTCCCTTACCCAGTGAGACAAAGACAGAGAAAGGGCAGGAAAGGGCATTTAGGGTGATGCAAGTTTCTGCAATTGCTCTCTGCATATTGACCTCGTGGGTTGGCCTGACATACTCAGGAAAAAACATTAGCTGTCCCCAAAAGCCCCAGCAGAGTGAAATACAGGTTTGGCAGTGCTTGCAAATCCCTTTCTCCCCCTTTTTCTACACAACCCCATGTCGGGTGGGCTGCGTGGCTCCCCCAAGGGCAACCCACAGGACTAGCAGGAGGTGGGTGGTGATTCTCCTTGCTCTCAATATTGCCTTCCAGCTCAAAGCCCGCAGAGCCCCAGGTCCATTCATGGGTCACAGCCCATGGCAATACCAGCTGCAGTAGAACCTGAAGCCTCAGTAATCCTCCAGCCTGCTCCTTGGAGCAGAACCCGCTCCACCCACAGCCCCCCGAGGACTCCCTGGGGCACCCTGCGGACCTCCAAAGCCAGCAGTCCCCACCAAAGACTTGTCCCACGGTGGAGGTGAGTCTCATCACCTCCTTTCGGTCTCCAGGCAGGTGGGCAGTGCCCGGGACCCTTAGCCACAACCTGGCACCAAGTATGCTGAGTGTTGCCCAAACACCAGCACCTTTGGAAACTGCCGAGTGGTGAGTGATGTGGCACCCCAGAGCAGTTTGTTTGGAAAAGGAGTTTTCTGGGGTCTCCCTGCCCATATGGTCTAACTCAAACAACTCAGCGAAGTCAGACCTGAGGGCCTGCACCCACCATGTGGTGCTGGAGACAAACACGGGGCATTTCCCACTGGTGTTTGGCTCCTTTTTCCCCTCCCAGAACCTCTGCAAGGGGATGAAGGAGTTCTCTTGGGGTTTTGGAGCAAAAGTAGTAAAGATGTAAAATAAAAGCTTGGAGAAACTGTGCAGGCGATGCAGAGAAGAAACAACATAGAGAGGCTGTGAGATGGCAGCAGAGAGGAAGAGGAGCTCATCTGTGACCAAGAGCAAGAGAGGAAAAGGAGTTACTTGTTTGCTCCAGGAGCAAGAAAAAGCCAGATCTAGGTTTTAAACTCAAGCAAAGCAATATCCAAATGTAAGGCAAAGTATGGGTGTGAGTATTTGTTGGAGAGGCCAGCAGGAGAGTGTTTGCAGTCAGTGGGTGTGATGGATCTGTCCACATCCATGGTAAACGCAGAGCTTCTCCATGGGCGGCCCTGCTCAGGGTCAGATCACAGCCCAGAGCATCGCAGGGCTTCCCCGCATCTGCTGCAGGAGTGGGGTAGGGGGACGCCAGAGCAACCCCATGCCCGATCCATCTCTCTGTGCACCAGTTCAGAAGTGGTGCTGGGAGGGAAGAAACCTGCCCCATCCCCTGTGAGGCTCAGCTTTCAGCAAGAGGCAGCGCTCTCCACAGTGGTGCTGGGGGATGAGACTGACTCTGACGGGTGGGACCTGGACTCGCTGGAGGAAACGGCTGGTTCAGGTACTGCCTGTTCTTGTAGCAACCACTGTGGGTCAGCGAGGTGGTGGGGACAGTCCTGGTTAGTACCATCAGTGCTGCTGTGTCACCTTCTTCCTGGGGCTGAAATGGGACAAGTCTTACCCCACCATCCCCCATACTTAGCCACGCAACAGGGCACTGGTGGCTTTAACCATCTGCAACGTGTGTGCCTGACCCTGCCAGAGTATTTTCCTAGGGCTCAATAAACCCTGTGGCTCTTCCTTTGCTCAGAGGAAAACCAGACTGCCTAGAGGATGCAGGGAACCCTACAGGACTGAAAGGGCTGTCAAACACAAGGAGGAAAGCTTGTTTTAACAGTCAGCTGTATGCTGCAAAACCTGATGTGAACCATGTGTCAGGAAATGAGGTGGGGACTGCTCCTGGACCCCTCAGAGAGGTGGGGGGGCAGCGGGAGGCACCTGTTGCCTATGCATTAACTGCAGACAGCAGCAGGTACTCTTTGCCTGTGGCTTTGGTGTGTCCCAGGCCAGAAAAGAGCTGTCGGTGCTCTGCCACACACCACTAGCCCAGGCTGTGTGTGCAGATGGAGGTTTCCTCCAGCATCCTTGCACGCAGGGGAGCATTACCCACCCAGTGCTTGCTTGGGGAGGGAACCCTCCCATGCTTTATCTTATGCACAAAATATTTACTTCCTGAAACAGCTCCATTGGGATGGGTCCAGACAGTGCTAGTGAGTTTAAGCTACTTTGAAACCAACTTGCCCTGGGGCGGCTGGTGGTCCCTCCCTTCTCACTGAGCTGTGCCATCACTGTGCCTTGGGGCTCCCTGTTTAATCTGCTCTGTCCTGCACAGGGACAGCCACATCCACAATGGTGAGGCTCTTGGAGAGATGCCTGGATGCGGTGGCACAGAGACCACCCAGCAGGGTGAAACTCTTCCCAGCCCTGAGCTTGGCATCGCCAAAAACCAGCCAGCCCACCAAGAAACTCGAGGTATCTCATGCGAATGACCATAGGGATGTTCTCTGACATAATTTCCAGGAAAAAAGGCATGTCAAACCCTCTTTTCAGCTCATACCCATCAGCAGTGCCACAGGGCATAGTCTGTGTGCAGGGAGTTAAAACTTATGGCAGCAGAGACTTGGCCCTTGGCCCCTTCATCCAGTTACAGGTGTCTGTCCTTCCCCTAATGTTTTTCCATTCACCCTCTTTGGTGAAAAAAAAAAAAAAAAATTATAATCAGTATTCATGCGATTGGGAGCAAAACAGTAAGCGCCAGAGAATCGAACTGAGAAGAGGTCTCTGGAACAAATCCAGAGATAATTGGAGTGATGCAATGGAGAAATTATTAAATTACTAAAACAGGACTTAAACATAACCTCAATTTATGGGTGAGAGCTGATGTAATTAAAGTGGTGGCAGTGAAGGAATCAAATTGCTTTTTCAGAAAAAAAATTAAAAAGGATTGTACCCAAGGAAGGCCCAGCACAAATACTGGGAAGATTTTTTGTTTTCTTATGCAATGACGATGAAATTCTGGGCCTTCATCTGACAAAGTTTAAAAAAAAAAAAAGTGAAGCGTAAGATTTATGGGACAATTTGCAATTTGCAAGCCATGGAAGTAAAGAAAGGGTGTCCTGTGTGGCATCCTGGTGCAACCATGTTTGGCCCTCTTTGCTCTAATTTTTGCATCAACCTGATGGAGAAGAAATCCCTGTTGATTTATAGTAGGGGAGCACAGGGTGCAAATGTCGGGGGGGGTGGGTCTGGCCCTGCTCAGAGCCCTGGCTCCCCTTCACCCTCTCTGTGCTCCTCTCCAGCTTGCAGGTGACAGCAGTGACCTGGAGACCTCCTCCCTGGAGGACCTGGCCGAGCCACCAGCCAGGTGGCTGCTGATCCTCAGGGGGCCACCTCGGTCCCCAGGGCCCTGGGGAACAGGGCTGCAAGGGGACACATGGTAGTGACAGGGAAGTGAGAGTCCGCTGCCAGCAGCCACTGGATGGTGCCACAAGACCAGAAACGGGCAGCAGCTGCTCTGCAGCCTCCCTAGGGCAGCTCCTGTGCTCCAGCCACCCCTCTTTTTGGGAAGACCCCAATATTTGGGCTCTCCCAAACAGCACAGGGGGGTTGGGTGCTCCCTGGCCAGCCACTGTGGATTGTACCAAGGAGGATAAATGCTGCATGGTCTGAAAAGGAGAGATTTCTGCTCTCCCTTCACGCATGCACATGAGCTATAACACAGTGCTCGATGGTGCCATGAGTTTTCGGAGCCCCAGCAGCTCTCCCTGGACTTTGCCCCCACAGGCTGGGGCCAACTCTCCACAGCGGACACAGCCTGGCACTTGTGTGTGGCTTTTTTATTCTTTAAGCAGTCCGAAAAACAGAGTCAGGGAGGGGAGAAAGCAGCTTTCCTTCTCATTGCGTCTTTCTTTGCCGGTGCTCCCGAGGGTGATGGAAAAGGTCTCGTTTTCCTGCTCTAGGAGGAACCTGGACTGAATGCGCTCAGACAAAGTAACAAGCCGCAGCGGCTGTCTCCTTCCTCCTTCCTTTCTTGAATTGGTGGAAACTCCAATCCAAAGGATGATTTTTTGCACTGTAAACATGACCACATAAGCCTGACTCCGCTGATAATGCTTATCCATGTAAATTAAGTTCATTTTCCTAATTCTCTCTGTATTTTGCACATTTGTAGCAGTGCATTTATGATCTTGATCCCTTAAAAGTATGAAATTTTGGAAAATGCAACAGGAAAAACTGGCACTTCTCAATATCTCTTCTCTTTTCCAACCTACTCCACTGCTGCTTCAAACTTCTGCCATTCCCTATTTCTAACATTTGCATGTGGATTTTAATGCTAGGGAGCAGGAAGCCCAACCAGGGCTGAGCAGAACAGGGTGAATTAATTTAACTTCATTGAACAGCAAAAGTGCCTTCCGGATAACGCTCCACAAACATGCAGAAAACCCTCCATATTTTGCAAATCCACATGTCCTCCAGTATGTGCACATTCACCTGTGGGCTTATACCCACCCATATGGCATAGCTCTCTAGCTGCATACCTTGAAAAGGAATTTTTCCATTTTAAACTTTCAATTTTAAATAAGAACGATACCTGGTTTGTGTTATTAATTGCTTACAGTGCTATTGCCAGATGCGTTACTTCATGTTTAATTTAACAGCTGTTGTTCTTTGTGGCGAGTGTTGATCATAATGAACACTGCTTTTAATCAATTAAATAAAAGAGGGATGTTTTCATCCCCTTCAGAGCACTGGTACTGGTAATTGGGAAAAAGAAACTATCTTTTTACCTGTTAAAAATTGCAGGTAGCAGTGAGCATTTGCTCCTGTGAGAAGGGTGATAGGAAACCTCTCCTGGCTCATGCACCTCTGCCCTCGTTGCCTGCCATACAGCAGCCCTGGGCTGGGCTCCGGTGCTCGCATGGTCCAAAGCCAATGGGGAAATAAATTTCTGCCCAAAAGAGCAAACAGGCAGGAAAAGGGCAGAAAGCAGAAGCTGTTTCGCCTTGACTACATGGCAAGCTCAGTGCCAAGGCAGGTGCCCTGCCCAGCGCTAAAATCTAAATCACACTCGTCCCACCAGCTGCTGACCAAACCTTGCCAGCCCCAGGTCCGGCTGCTTTTACTGCTCCTGCACGTGTTCACTTGCCGACAAGTGCAAGAATTACTCTTCCATTCGTTTTACCAGCAGTTTTCATGCCTGAGGTGCTTTTGAGCCATCGCAGTGAGCTTCATGCACTCAACACTGAGACCAGATGGTGCCAGGAAGGTAGGGGAAAAACTTCCCCCAAGTTTGGGAAGCTCCAAAAATACCTGGCAGCCTTGTGCTGAGAGAAGAGTGACAGTCATACTCTAACGAATAAATAAATAGCGATGCAGACAAAGCATTTTTATTTCAGACTGGACATTTTGAGCCAACAAGGTCCATGGGAGGTTGTTCTCTGCGTGCTGCAAGCTGCAGCGAGCCATATGGCAGAGGATGCATGATATGCATAGAAGAAGAGCCATGAAGATTCACCTTGGGTTATCCCAGGTGATGGGCTCTGTCTCCAGAGAAGACAAGAGAAGGGAAGAGGAAGGGGAGAAGTGACTCCAACGACATCAGCTCCATCAGTGTGTCTTGTCCAGAAAATAAATTTTACTAAATTTTTTTTCCTGTTGTTTTATGGGCTTCTTCCCCAGGTAAAGCAACTGCTTGTGTACCCCTTTTTAGAGTACTGTCCTTTTCTTGATGACACCAGACTGGGCCACATTGGACTCCTGTGCCCATTGGCACTGCTGAGTGGTCGTGCCTTGCTGCACAATGCCAAACCAGCAGACAGCAGCAGGGATACTCCCCAAGTAGGCGGATCACTGCAGCCAGGGGAATGCAAAACAAAGCAAAACAAAACAAAGTCGGCAGAAAGCACACAGTGGAAAACAAAGTCAGAAGTGCAAGTGGGGACTCTCGCTCGCAGCTGAGGTTAAATAGGCAGACAGGTGTCCTGATATTTCCTTCGTACAAAGATTTCTTTGTGATTGCATTAAGGAAACAAATTCAGCTTCTCCCGCAGGAGAAGAACAATGGAATGAGAGCCGCCTCGAAAATTAATTTCCTTCACCCTGTAAAGATGCGACACTGCAACGCCACGAGACAAGAAGACTTTGTTAGCAGCAAAAGCAATGGGGAGGCTGCTGCAGGTGGAGATGGCCCGTGCAAATCACGGGCATCCTGCCTTCACACTGCCAGCACCTCTCAGAGCCTGACACCACATCCCTTCCCTCTCAAGCCTTCGCACCTGCTCCTTGAGTCAAATCCTGCCCACTGGCATGCTGTGATTGTGCACCACCAGGCTGCTGCTTGCTAGTGGGTGGTGGAGCAGGCTCGTTCCATGGGCTGGAGCACATGTGCCTGTCCGTGCTGCTTAACACCCACAGGCTTTTCCTGAAAAGCTAAAAAAACCCCTGAAGTTTTGTTAAATGATGGAAAATGCAACCCTAGCATCATGGCATGATTTGGAGAAGCAGGGCCTGTCCAGTACCCATGCTTTTTCCTGGACATGGTTTTACCTTTCCTCCAGTGCAAGCAGCCCAATCCTCACCCCTCTGCCCTGACCTGCGTCCCCCACCCAGGCATGTAACCCCATCCCTCCCATACCCAAACTGCTCCCCTTAAATTCCCACAGGTTTTTATATTCCTCTAATTTTTCAACCTTGTCTTCAGTTCAGCATGGCATGGAGGGTTTTCCATGGTCTTCACCAATTGCTGAAACCTCGTTTCTCCTGCCAGAAGTGACTCCTTTGGCTTCGTCCTTTCTGGAGTCTTTGGAAACGGTAAAACAAGTTCAGAACCAGCAAGATAAAGAACTAGCCAATTTAATAAAGGAGAAACCACGCAAATCAGGGTTTCCCTCTGAAAAAGGGACCTCTGCAGTGCCATGCAAATTGAAGGGTCGAAGAGAAACCTGAGGTTGGTTTTACAAACACTATCCCAGCTGATGCCTGCACAACCAGCTTCCAGCTTGCAGGTACTGTAACACAGCCATACTATTTAGGACATCCATGGGGCATAGGCATGACCCCCTTCCCATGGGCGCAAAGCAGCACAGCTACATTGAAACTGTTGGTCAGGCCCTTGCTAGGAGTTTAATGCCATTGGAGTCTTATGCTTTTTAAAATAATATGTTTTGCGTTTTGTTTTTCTCGATGACATTTGTCTTCGCGGGACTTCATTTATTGGTCATACTTTTATAAAGCATAAATATGTGGGACAATTAGTAGATAATCAAACCACAGCACTAACAATCTGAATGCAATGCAACTCTCCCACATAATACCAAGTAGAAAAAAATAAAGGAAAAGAAAAATCCTATCAAATTTATTCAGCTGGAATATCTCACCCAGAGAGCTATTCTCCCATAATATTTGGGGCAAGTACAGTGTCATAAATCTTAGTGCTGTTAATCCGTAGACTCATTCATCTCTGTTCAGCTATATAAAAGCAATAACCTTGTCACTATAGGAAGGAAGATTTGGCTTTTAATTGCATATAGATTTCAAGACAGTTCTTATCTCATAGTCCAATTTGTAGCTTCAGATATGGGTCTTTGCTTCCCTTGGTCAAAGTCCATGCAAATCTGCCGTGCTCTCATATACTTATAAATGGTGCGGAAGCTCAGAAAGAACCTATATAGAGCTCTGCCGGCAGATAATACACACAGCCTTTTCAGCATTTGCTTTATTGGACAAGCCTGTATTTAATTAGCTCCTCTGAAACAGGATATGCATTTTTCAGAGGACGATCAAATTTATGGAAACAAAACCATTTCTGACTGCAGGCACACATGCACACACACATCACCAATCACAATTTCCATGACTCATCTCCCTTGGTTCTGCAAGTGCTACCAAATGCATCCCTTGCCCTGCAGTTTATTGTTGATAAGGGCAAAATAATTGGCGGGGGGGAAGTCATCCCTCCCTCTCCAGTAACAACGTCAGGAGGAAACGCTGGATTTATTCACGGGGCCAAGAGATCTGCAGCATCTGGGCTCCAGTTATTTCCAGGCTTTACTCAGCCAAAGTCTTCTAGAGGCACAAACCTCCTTGTTGCTGTGCAATTCGTCAAACCAGCAAGCCCAGTTTAGCCCAGCAAATATTTAACTGCTCCTCCCAAACTTCAGCCAGGCAGCAAAGCAGGATGGTGAGGGCTTTGCTGTGCATGCCTCGGTACAGCACTGTACCCTCCCAAGTTTCTGCCTGCAGGGTGACCGGCTTGAGAACAGGGTGTTGCTCTTTCGAGCAGCTCAGTTTTGCACGTAGTGCTGGGTTCAAAGCCTAAATTCACACCCTTTAAGGAAAAGTGCCTCCCTGCAGCGCTGGGGAGCCAGACACAGCGTGAGGTCCAGAAGCTGTGTTTTGGGTGGGTGGCCCCAGGGTGCTCCTCAGGCAGCATATGGACTGG